AAAAATACTTAGAAAAAATTAAAGGGAGGACAAACAACAGGAAAAGGATCGACAGACAGAAAACGGATTGTGTGTGTGTGTGTGCGTGTTCGCGGGGGGCAGGCGACCCCCCCACTGCCAACCAATCAATCAATCAATCAATCAATCAATCAATCAATCAATGTGCACATGTTAATCAATCAATCAATCAATCAATCAATCAATCAATCAATTAATCAATCAATCAACCAATCAATCAAACAATCAATCAATCAATCAATCAATGAATTAATCAATCAATCCAAAAAAAAAAAATTCATCCGGGACCAAAAAAAAAACATTTTTTTTTTTTACTGTTTTTTTGAATGGGGGGGTACCCCCTAACACCCGACCCCCCCCAGCCCATCCACCCCCTCAGCACCCCTCCGGAAGGTCGTGTATGGACGGTCCGAAGTCCGTACGTACGAGCCGTACGGGCGCCGGGGGGGCCGTACGTACGGCCGTCTGGACGTGCGGACGGGCCGTATTCGTACGGCGGTATACACTGCGCTGGAGCACTGAGGCAGCAATGTGCCAAGGAGTTGTCTACTCTTGCCACATGGAACAACGGGCCGTCTAAGCCCGTCTTAACCTCGCCTGGCGGACTAGGGAGCCTACACTCATACTCTCTCAATTTCTCAAATGGAGTGTGGCCCCTGCTGCCTCTCCCCAGTCCATGCCTAGGACTATGTCAAAAGGAAGGTCATCCTGCACGAGGAGAGTCAGGGAATGGAGAACCTTCTCCACCTTTCCATATTTCTCTAGGCGGAAATACGCCTAGACTCCCTCTACGCAGTCCTCAACACGCATAGTGCGGTTGTCCGCGAGGACACTAACTATGGGGTTTTCCAACTTTTGTACTTTCAACCCTAGCCTTAGCTTCTTCAACATTATACGGCTAATATAATTGCGAGTAGCCTCGGAATCTATGAGGGCTCCTACTCTATTTTTAAAAACCTCTGCATCAACTAAAACTAGTTGTCCCTGGCTATCCTTCTTCATTTTGGCCCAGGCAGGCATCCTCTCCTTCAACTCTTTTGCCACGCCTGTGAGGGAAGTGCCTAGAGAGATGCTAACACAGGAAGTCTCCGGACAGCTAACTAGGCACTGACCTACAACCTCTGCCGAAGGCTCATGTGGTGTGGGAGTTTCCTGTTCGCACACGCTCGCTTCCCCACATGGCCTTGTAGTAGGGCCAATTGCAACCCCTACATGCGGCTGCCTTTTGACTCTTGGGCAGCCCATCGGACCTCTCTGTACTTAGGACAATATTTAATGATATGGGCCGGGTCACCGCAATATATGCACTGACCCTGGTTCATACGCTGCTGCCATACTCGCTGGTCCAGGCCCAGATCTTTCCAAGGCGGACCTTGTGGCCAACCTCGGTGCCAACCTCCTTTCTTCTGAGGTGATCCTCCACCTCGTCACTGTGGGGGCCGACTAGGACCTTGACGGTTTGACGGGGGACCTTGACCCCTACCTCCCTCTTGGCGGTTCCTTTGGCCGCCAACCCCCTGCGCGCCCAGTCCTCGACCACCCGTGGCCTGGCCCCTTTGGCCCTGGCCTCCTCCTCTACCTTGCGGCCTCCCTCCAGCCGCGACAACAGTATAGGTCCTCCCCTGGCCTATACCGTTGTCCTCCTCCTCTAGCCCCACTCAATCTGACTGTAGGGGACTTCATCGGTACCACCTTCATCCAAAGTGAGGATCAAAATGATCCTTGGCCCTGACTTGACTTGAGATGGTACGACCCTTCCACTTTTTCCCTTTGTCTAAGTCCTTGTGTCAGAAAGTGGACACTAACATGGACTTTGCCTCATACAGCACCACCTCTCTACTCAGTATCGTACGTCATGGTGGGTTGTTGACTCTTGTCGAAGAAATGCCCTCGTAAGGGCTCTTGCATGGCACGATAAAAGAATTGGACCAACTGGGCCTCAGTGATCCCGTGGTCCGAGACGGCTACCAAGTCGTCCATAACGGCTTTGAGTGCTCGTGCACTCCTCCGCTGCCGTGAGTGGATGGTCTGGAGTTTGTCTGAGGCTTTGATACCACGCCTCAGATCAGCAAATCGCTCGCGGAGGAGCTTGAAGAAGTGGGGAAGGGAGGTGACTTTAGAATAAGCAACCATGTTGTTCTCACAACTGGCTGCGTGTGCTACGGACCTAGCGAAGCTAGCCGCATCATCCTTGAAAGTGTGGAAGGCTATCAAGACCTGCTCCTCAGGTGCAATGTGTTGTAAATAAACATAGCTATTAACGCCAACCTCCCAGTTATCAAAATTTTCTTCAGCTTTCCCGCCGTACGCATCTGGAAACTTGAGTTTTACAGGCTCTTTGCGGGGACGTGCTTCAGCCTCTGTTGTGACCACTACTTTGGCGCCTTCAATGGCGCCTGCACAAAACTTGTCTGCGCCTTCCTTTAATCTCTTAACTTCTGTCCCGAAGTGGGTCACCATGTCGCGCGCGAACTCTCTAAACCCGGACCGTATGGCATGGAGGGTCACTTCTTAACCCTTATTGGCCTGATGTTGTTCAAGCCAAGCCTGACTCAAAATCTCAAGACAACTTAGAATCTTGTCTAATTTGGGTAGGGTCTCCTGTTGCGCTTGCACCTCCTGCCTGCACAACTGAACCTTCTCCACTTCCTTGGCCATTCGATTGGCCTCCTCCCTCCTCTTCTTCTCCCTTGTTAGATGCAATTTCCACTCTAATCTTTTTTCATCCTCCAGCGTCTGGTGATCCAGGGGATCTTCCAGGGCTTCCAACTGCCTGGCTATGGCTTATTTTTCCTCCTGAGGCACATACAACATTGCCTCTTCATCTTCCCCCAGTGATAAATTAGCCAGCCATTCGTTGATCTTCTTCTCCATCCACCAATCTTCTGCTTTTGTGCCACTGCTTTCTCCTCTTTCATCTCTACGTCTCCTTTCGAAGGGTTCTTCTTCTACTTCTTCCTCCTCTGCTGCTGCTTCTTCTTCGGCAGCCCTCTTTTTCTCTTCCTCCTCCTGCTGTAGTCTCATCATCTCCTCCTCCAATTTCTTCTTCTTCGCCGTCTGCTCCTCAGCTATCGCCTTCAACTTCGCCTGTTTGAGGAGCTCCTCCTTTCTCTCTTTCAGGATGGCGGCGATCCGTGCCTGCTCAGCTTCTGACTGTAGGGTAGTACTCTTACCAGTACGTGTTTCAGCCATGGTGTCAGGTGCACAACCGACAACGGTTTCACTCCTCACCACTTAGACTCTACCCCCTGACTGACACGACCTACTGACTCAATCTAAGGGCCACAAAATCCGGATAGGATCCTGTCAACTAGAGTCACTAGCCTGGACCTAAACTATGCCTGTCACTACAGGGCCTATTGCTGATCAGGAGTCATTTAAGGAGATCCCCCGTAACTCCTGAGGAATTCTTTAACATCGCAGACAGGACGACACGATCAGCAGGTCCTCTCAAAACTTAGACGGCCTGTTGTGCAGCCCACAACTCGGATTTTGGGCCTACTGTGCAACACCGAGCGGCCCGCCGGTCAGTACCGGGCCTTGGGAGGGTTCGTGTCCTCCGGGACAGTCGAGTCGTCAGACACAGTCTTTAGCCCTACTCAGCCCATGTGGGTTTGGTCAACAAGGCCCTATCCTTCATCCACAGAATCCTATCACCTGGATAGAAGAGACTCAATGCAGAAAGAAGAGACAAACTGACTTGACTCAGCAAGTACCACTAGGTGTGTGCACATCCATAGGGCGAGGGGATAGGCTGAAGGCTTGGCGAGATTATACCGGCTCCAACTTGGTCAAAATCGTGGTCAACAGTCTTGGTCAACGCCTTAGTCAACCCCTGGTCAATGCCGCAGTCAACCCCCGGTCAACTCCAGTCAACTCTGCATCCGGCTATGGCGGCCGGCTTCCCCTTCGTCGCCACCCTTCTCCTTCCTTTTACCTGCAGCACCTCCTTCTTCACCCCGGCCGTCTTCTCTCTCTTTTTTTTTTTTTTTGTTCTTGTCTCTCCCTTCTTCTTCCTCCGCTTCAACTTCTCTCCTTGGTTTCTCCCTTCGTCCTCTCTTTCACCTCCTTCGTTACTCTGTGGTGGAGCTCCGCGGCTATCGCCGCCTTCTTCTTTTTCATTGGACTGCACAACAGTCTTCACAGGTACGTGACAACCAATCTTGTATCGCTCATCTCTCTCTCTCTCTCTCTCTCTCTCTCTCTCTCTCTCTCTCTCTCTCTCTCTCTCTCTCTCTCTCTCTCTCTCT